TAGTCTGCTAAGAAACTTTAATTTCTAGTTTGGTCTATTTTCACTTTCGCTTAATAGTAATTAAAATAATTATAAAACAAAAACCCTCCAAAAATTTATCAAACATTGACTGTGCCAGCAGTGAAAACCAGCCTTTTATAAATGATTCTGAATCAATCTCGGTAAGAAATAAATTAAATATATAGAAAAAATAGAATTTATTTAACAGGTTTTATTCACTCCTCTGTTTTCGGCCTGCAGCAAAGGTGGCGTCGTAGCCAGGAGATCAATCTGGTCACTCTTTGTTTCTGCAAAGATAAAGTATACAACCAAAGGAGATTGTTAAGTACGAAAATACACAGTTAAGACGTTATCTTCAAGAGCGACGAAGAGCTACGCCACACCGATTAGGTGCTCTTTCTGGTCCGCGAAAACAGCGTTTTACTTCTTTTACTGATTTACTACAGTCACCACAATCTGCCATGTTTAGTCACGGAGTCTTTGTCTGGCAGCACTGAGTGGCCATGACATGACATGGAGGTTAGAGCATGGGCACAATAACAAGATGTCCCCTCTACCGAGAATAAAACCTCAATTACACGAGAAAAACTTGCTTTTATATCTGCATATCACTTAAAGGACGATATTTGCTTTGTAATGATATGGTTGTGGAGATGACACGCATCCGTTCAAAAAACCTGTCCCCACTCCCCATTGATTGATTAGTAAACTGCGGGAAATTATATACAGTCGTGAGACCGGGTATCATTACCACACTCCCAGGATTTTCATAGGTTGATCTACTGAAATCATTTTAGGCCAATTCAATTTCGCAGAGTATCTGTAAGGTTTAAGCCAACTCACCAAAGTCTTTGGTTTTTTCTCTCCAGTTCGTCTCCTTTCTTCTTTACGAGTTAAAACTTCCCTTCCCCCATCGCGGGAGTCTACAGATTGACGGTTGTTCGCGAGGGAAAGCGGATGTTCGGAAGAAGCAGTGGTCGCCTGGCAAAGTCCACCTTTTGGTTCGTCAGTTCCTCTCTCGTGTTTCTCTTTAATCTTTAGAGGCGAGGATTCAAACGCCTTGTTGCAAGAGGTGATGTTGGTGAGCGTGGTGGCGTTGGAACGCGTAATCTGCGGTATCCGAGGTGCATGGTCGGCTCCTTTTACAGCCAGTGTTGCTGCATTTACCCATTCTGGTGCACAAATGGCGAGTTGCTGTAGGTTTTTTCCCGGCCTTGTGGGCACTTCACTGTAGAGAGCTGATGATTGAGCAACCTCAGGAACTTCAGGGATAGACCAGCTGCTGGTGTTATTAATAAGCGGCGACAGGAACTCGATTGGGTTTTGGCCTTGGGAGGGAGCAAGTCTTATCATGAAAACTGTTTTGGGACAGACGATGGTACTTGGGACTAGCTCGATGACACTCTGTGCTATCAGACTTGTTCGGAAATCCGTTTTCTTCACCACGTTCAGAGCGGCAGTTATTTTGTTGCCGCCGTCTA